TTTCCCCTAAATAGCATGTTGAATTTTCCTAGCATGTTGAATTTTAATCTCTGTTTTTTTTATTACCCCCCTAAATTTAGCATCAGTTTGGTTTGATCAATCAGTGTAGCTTAGATAATTTAGGTAAAATAATCTGGTTACAACATTAATTATTATTATTATTATTTGAATTCTAATATAGAACATTCATTATATTCTTGGAATGGATTGTGATTTTGTATTCAATAATTGAGAAAAAATCTAAATTTAGAACAGTTCATTATATCTTGGAATGGATTGCCATTTTCTTAGCGACATTCCTGAAGTACTTATTTTCTTCATAAGGTACTCTACAAAGTCATTAACAAATTACTTTTCTTGAACAATCTAATTAGGCCAATAACATGTTCATGAAGTGTTGCCAATTCTGATTTTTTTTGATAGCTGGATGGTATTGTATTGTAATGAAATTTATTAATTCATTGAGTGATTTCTCAATATCTGATACTGGTTTGGACAGGGATAGTTTGATGCTGAAGTGTGAAGCAATGAAACAAGAAAATCATTCTCAAGTGGTAGAAATAAGATCCATGGTAATTTGTCATAAAATCACTATTTCCTCAACTAATAAAATTATGATGTATATACCTAATAGTGGGAAGAGAATCCATTCTTATGCACAAATATTTATGTTTAACATACCCAAACTGGTTGCAATACAGTTGCTTGTGTGATTGATGAATTTTTGCAAGTAAAGCCATTAACAAGAGCTATGTGATTGCTTTCCAAAGCTCAATTTTCTGGCTCAATCGTAAGTAGTACATTACATTATTGTGTAAATCAGTTTTAATTGCTATGGAAATCGGGTTGGTAATTGTAATTAGACTAGCTTGCACTTGCAAATAGGCTAACAGCAGCTGAGTAAAATCCAAATTAGACAAAATTTTATGGTGTAAATATAGACCTTGTGTTGGTGGGAGATTAGCCAAATGCATATAACTTGCAATTAACAAACTTCCTTTTCGAAAACTTTATGATTCTTGTTTCTTGATGTACTGTCTTGCGACAGCCGGGTTTCAGGCCTTCAAGAAAATGCTGGACAGGTTTCGCTTTATGGTGTTCTGTGTTTGTGACGCAGGCCTCTGGTTGCATATCTGGAAGGTTTGGTTACAAATCCCATAATAATCGTGTCTGTCATTTGGAGTCCGGGCAGAGATTCGGTAAGAGCTTACCACCATCTCCATACGTTGAAGGAGTTGAATACATGAATCATTTAATACTTTTTCTGTCTCTAAAATCTTTTTGTGAGGCTTGGCATATTAATTGGAACTTATGCCTTAAATAGCCAACACGGACCTTCAAATTGAATGTTTAGTTAGGAAAACCTGTCATTAGCAACCTAGTTAAGTTAATATTTCCTCAATTGAAGAGATTATTTTTAATGTTTATACTTTTGGCTAAAGATTACATTAATTCAATTATTGTATTTCTCCTTATTAGGCGTCCCCGAGCAGCACAAACTTTATAAAGCTGGTTGCGTGCACCTCAAGCAATTGTGTAGCCATCAATATCTGAAATTGTCAAGGCTCTTTTGAATCTTCATCATGGGCTGCACAAGGTGAAATTCTTGTGCGTGTGGTGGACTTTTTTTGGCATGGATTATTCAATTTATAATGTTGGAACATATTAATAGCACATTATATAGTATCGCCAGATCACATGCATTCTCTTGTGCTTCCTTTGCTTGCTTCTAAATATAGTATCAATCATAATGTTTTAGTTGTTGTTTCTTAGAGCTTTCACTTTCCTCTGTTATATCATATATTTTCTTCCTCCACTTCTTTTATTTGGACCACATTCTCCAGCTTCATATCCTCTGATTTTGACTATTTGCCTACATGACTATCCGAAGATTCAGCACAACGACGGATTCAATTGGGGGTAGCCAAGAAGATAAAGAAGTGGGCACGCAAAAATTGTTTCTTGATAAAGCTGAAGAGGCAAGGGTTGCTGCTTCACAGCTTTCAATCTCTTGGACTGATGTTCCTAAGTTACCTCAACCTGTATAAGCTGCTGGTGAATGCCACTCAAAAAGGGGCGACAACCTCTTATGGGGAAGAGAGTACTAGTACTTTGTTGGTGTACAGCATACAGAGCATGTTTCAGCCAAGTCAACGTTGGTAAAGATGCGAAAATTTTGATAAAGTTACAATAGAATTGGACAAGAGAGTCAGCAAAAACCATAGGTGTTGGCTTAGGGACTCCACATGAAGCAAATCAACTGGTACCATGCCAGACTATATTTTGGTGCTGAAAATCCTGCAGCAGTAGTTTGAAGGGCTGGTACTCTTGGTGAGGTTATACAATTATTGAACATATTATAATGCAGAACGTTTGTCTTCTCTAGTCTTGTAAGAACTACTGGTAATGAGATCAGAAAAGTTGATAAGTATTGTGATCTTGGTGAGCAGGAGCAAAATGATCGAAAACTGCATGTCTTGACAATAAGGAAAAATGCTTCTGAGAAAGGTCCTGTAAATGCTGTTAATACTCCAGGTGGATTTGATTCGTTCTTGGATCTTTGGGACTCAACCAGAGAATTCTATTTTGATATTCACTTTAACAAAAGATCTGAAGTGAACTCGACTGTCCCTTTTGAAATACATGGCATAGCAATTTGCTGGGGAAATTCTCCTGTCTACTATGTCAATCTTCCCAAGGATATATTTTGGTTTGACAGCAGAAGAAATGATTCTTTGTCCATATCTATTTCTGGTGATGGCACGATGTATTAGCACCAAAGCATCAGTTCGAGTGGCAAAACAAAGATGGAGTAGGATAGTTATGATCATGGGAAAAGATGTCAGAAAGTTTCTTGGAATTTAAAAATCAGATTCAGGTGTTAAAAATTCCTGCTGTTTCCATTCAGAGATTGGGTAGCCTGAATCTTGCAGTGAAAAATATGGTCTTGAGCTCAAAGACAGCATATACTATTTGTTGCACCCAGTTTATGCTCTGATACCGCTGTCCGACTCCTTCTCGGACACAATCTCTTCGGTACTCATCTTTCTCTCTCCTCTCTCTCTCTCTCTCTTCTCTATATATTATATATATATTCTATATATAAATCATCATATCAATTGTGATTGTTCGTGCAACTCTAATCATAAACTGTTCTTCGTTTGTGTTCAGTTTCAATAATTTGATACAAGTTTGATCGATCGATCGATCGATTTGGTTTTCTCCGATTTCTGGTTCCGATCGATCCAGAACATACTGCTTTTTTCTCTGATCAATCAGGTGTTTTTCTCAGATCTGTATGTGTATATGTGTATGCATGTGTTTATCTATTCAATTTTAGCTCGTATAGATTCTGCATTAGCTGATTCGCGATGTTTGCAGATTGCATGTACTTGAAGACCTTATTCATTATGCATTGTTGTGCCATTGTTATCGCCACACGTGGTTAAAGACTTGAACTATTTGTACTTGAAATGCTAATGTATTTAGAAGAGGGGAAAAAAAACACACAAAACAAAATTTGAATGTATAGTAAAATTTAAACTTACTATAGTGTGAATTATAATAAAAATAAATCTGATTTACACATTTTAAGTATGTACACTTGTTTAGTATTTTATGAGAATATGGGGCGTTGTTGATTTTTACAGTCTTGGGGGGGAGAAAGGTGTCTTGGATGCTTCTCTCATGTTAAAATAGAGAGAGAATGCTGCTCTCTAACAACCCCTCCCAAGTAAATCACTTTTTTTTTGCTGGATTCTTTTGACTATATTCTGCTTTGCTTTCCCTTTGTGAATGTTTATTTATTTTGTTATTATTATACTTGCCTGCTTTGTTATATTAAAACCTAGACTCCAATTAATTCTAATGCTCGCTCTGTCTGTCTGTCTGTGTCTCCTCTCTCTCTCTGTAACACCAAAACTCATCATAGAAAGTTGGTTTAATATAATATATTGTTATTACATACCCTTCCTCTTTCAAAGGAGGACACAAAATACAAACTTTGACCTAATCATCAATTGGGACAGGACAGTACCTGGATGACCTTTCCTTAAACACAATCAATAGTAAAACTCAATAACAATACAATACAATACAATACACTACTACTATATTAATACAACAAAATAATATATATGATATAGATATAGATATAAATAAGAGCGAGAGCGAGAGAGAGAGAGAGAGAAAAAAAAAGATGAGAGAGTATTATTAACTGTGAAGTGATGGGTAGCAAAATTAAGTAGAAAAAATGTAGCTAGCAGACGTTGGTCCAAATCCCACAAAACATTTTGCCCCATCAAATGAAATCTGGATTCCCTCTTGCTGTATATTGCCTATTATGGATAGTCCTGATGCTGATGCTGCAAATGCAAAACAGAATGTTCCCATTTCATTCACTGGTATCAAGAAGTTCCGTGCTGGCAGCGTCAAGATGGGTCCTCCTGAGAAGTAAACGATACGGTTGGTACCCGAACCGACACAAACCCATTCAGATCATAACACGTGTCGAATATCGATACTCCTGACGACCGAGGTGGCTCGCAGTTTGAGTGATGAACGCATCATGAAATTACTCTGTCATCCCTTATTGCCCCTAGATTGGTTAGTCTATTTAACTAGCATTACATGTTTCATATTTTGTACATTTTCTTTATCAAATTTTTATTTCTTTATTATTCATCCCTCCCCCCCATTTACATTCTAGGCTCGTAGAGGCGGTATTGACGAGTCATTTGCCTGGGAGAGCAGAGAGTATTTAAGGAAGCTTTGTATAGGAAAGGTGCTCATTTAAATGCCTTTAGCTATGATTGCAACATATCAGTTTTCTAATGAACGAGTTGGAATTATCGCATCTTACCCAATTTATCTTTTTGAATAGGATGTCACTTTCAGAGTGGATTATACTGTACCAGCCATAGGGCGAGAATTCGGCTCAGTTTTCCTCGGCGATAAGAATGTCTCATTGATGGTTGTTGCTGGAGGCTGGGCAAAGGTTATATCACTTTTTTCTTTGGTGCATACATTTCCAACGTTGGATTTGTTCTGTATGTATGGGCATTAGCTAAATCTGATGCTTGCAGGTTAGGGAGCAGGGTCAACAGAAAGGAGAAGCTAGTCCTTTCTTAGCGGAACTGCTACGCCTTGAAGAGCAAGCCAAACAACAAGGGTTAGGACGTTGGAGCAGGGTGAGTCTAAGTCCTTTACTGCTGTTTATTTGTTTATTTTATTCTTATATTTGTTTTAGGATGTTGGAGTAGGGTTAGTTTACAAAATTAACGAAGGCGTGGAGTATAAAGATTCTTGGGTAGAGAAGGTCAGTAGATGTTATATCTTGTATTATTGATGTTGTTCAATTGACATTGGTATTTTCTTTCATCCTTTGTTTTCTGATGGTCTAATAGGCTACCTGAATGTCTATTCTATTTGTTTTTGTTCCTTCCTTCCTGTCATGCTGATATTGCTTTCATATGCTTCATTGTTTAACCCAGTTGATCATTGGTCTTAACATTATGAAACTTTACTAATTAAATGCCATCATTTATGGATACTTCTCTCTCTCTCTCTCTCTCTCTCTCTCTATACATATATATATATATATATTATTTTGTGTAGTTCTCTAAATCCAACATGTGTTTTCCTCTGCTCACGTAGATTATGAAAGTTTTGAGAAGCTAATTAAGCAATGTCATGAATTAAAACTGTTACAGTAGTTGTGCTCTCTTAATAATTTTTCTATTCACTTCAGAATAGTTGCATATGGTCTGTCATTTTTTGGATGTTACAATTCACAATTTCATTGTCTTGGCTCTCAGGGCTGCTATGTATGCATCATTATTGGTTATTGTGAAGGAGGAGACATGTGAGTGACTTTTCTGGCTAAAACTGCAATACTTGGCTTAATCCATTTACTTGGGCTGAAACTTTACATGCAATCTATGATGTCATCTTTTTTGCTACTTTGTCTTTTACAGGGCAGAAGCTATAAAGAAAGCAAATGGTGTTCTTTTTTCCGATGAGGTTGTTTTATATTTCTAGTATCTTAGCATCACATTTATATTGTTTCGTTTTCTTTTCTGTTGTCGCAATCTAGATTGTACTGCATTCTACCTCCCACCTCTGCAGTTTTCAGTTTGTATCAGCTCACAATTTCTTTGTTCACTGATACATTGATGTTAAATTGTTTATAGAAGCTGTGTAAATAGCTTGTTCAATTGCTTATAGCTTGTTCAATTGTTTTCTTTCTTTAATAGTCTTGAGAGGTGTCAGTATTTTGCTGAATCACCATTGATTAATCCTGTTGCAGGTGATTTTGGACTTGCTAAGATGTTGCCATCAGATGATCTTGCATCCTCTGTAAGTCTTGTGGTTAACTGGTTCATTTTTCAAGTTTCAACATTTGCATTAGTTTTATTGTTCAAGATTTCTTTTTCGTAACTCAGGTTGTAGGAACTCCAAGTTATATGTGCCCTGAGCTTCTTGCTGACATACCTTATGGCTCTAAGTCAGACATTTGGTCCTTGGGTAAGTGTATACACAAATGTCACATAAATACATATATAAGTTATAATGCAATCATGAATGCAAGTTGCAACTTGGCATATTTTTGATGCCTATGAAAATTTAGATTTTTCCTTGTGAGGAATTGTGTTCTTATTTGTATATTGTGGCCTTTAATTAGTGTCTTAATCTAATCCTTGCTCTATTTTTGTTTTCCAGTCAGGCCCTCATCAAAAGCATGCTGCGGAGAAAACCCAGAACTTCGGCCGAGTTTATTTCCTGTTCTTTATTCTTTTTTTAACACTTTCCGAAAATGTTTTACGTAGGAGAAACATTAATATAAGCATGCGAATGATTTGCCATTGCCTTAGATAATCTAAATGATTCCTAATTCATTAATTAGGACTCAGCTAGTTGTGTTTGTTCTAGCTAATATATTGCCATTCATAGTCATCGGCATAAGCCTTTTCTAGTAAGTTTCTCTAATAATTTTAAATCCCTGTAATGTATCTTCCAAAATTCGAAGCCAAGACATTTTTAAGGTACTTATTGGTTTTATGTTTCAATTGGATTTAACTTTTGTGGCTTTGTATATAAGGTAGTAATTTTTTGATTGAGAATTGTGAATTCAATTTTTGGATATGTTATTTTGTGGAAAAATTAATGCTATATTAAATTGAATGGGAAAGTGAATTAATACTATATTTGTTATTTGAATGGGAGTTATTATTTCATATTAGTGTTATTTAGTTTTATTATTGGTGTTCTTTTAGTTCAATCACATAAAATTAGTACAATTTCAAAACCAAAAAAAAAAAAGAAAGATAAGACGGCGTTTTTCAAATGCCACTATAACGGTTGGAATTTTTAAAATTAAAAAAACCTATGAAGGCGTTTTAAAAACGTCGCTAAAATCATACTGACGTCACAGTATTGTTAGGGCAGGGCATTTGGCGGCGTTTTTAAAAACGCCGCCTATACTAATACAGCGACGTTTTCCAAACGCCATAAAGTTATAGCGACGGCCGCGTCATCGGCGTTTGGTATTAAACGTCACAAAAAGAATTGACGACGTTTTTGGTACCTATAGCGGCGTTTTTTAAACGCCGCTAAAAGCCTAATTTCTAGCAGTGACGATATTGGTTCTCAGAGCAATGGAAAACTCTCATATTATCTTCCAGTGATTAATCACAAGACAATCTCTTTTAGGCCTAGGAGTTATTTAAGATTTGGTGCAGATATACCATAGCGGCCAATTTTAGGAAGGGCCAATAACACTAACAAAGCCTATAGTTTGAGACTTGTATTATTTTAGTCCTTAACCTTTCAATTGTGATATATTTGATGCTGAATTTTAAATCACAAATTAGATATGAACAATTGAAGACACTATTGTTCCATTTCAAAGGCAAAGTCATCAATTTGATAAATATAAACTAGTTTGATAAAAATAAATGTTAAAAAATTATTTTTAATTTTTTAAAAGTTATTTCTATCCACCAAAGATAAAAGTATATAAAAATGATAAATCTTTTACATTTTTATTTTTATTTTTATTTTATTTTTTTACTAAATGAATTTTTAGTATGTATTTGGATGATGATCATGTAATTGGTGGTTATTTTTGTTGATATTTTTAGATGGTTATCATGTAATAGATAGTTGCATTTGTTGTTAATAAATATTTTTGGATGATTATTATTGGCTTTTAATGTGTAAGCGATATGTTTAATATATGAAATGCTTTTAATTTTGGATTTTTTGGTTTAATGGATTGGTTTAATAGTGACATCAAAATTGTCGCTATGTTTCACTTTGGAAAAAAAATAAAAACTAATTAAATGAAAATAAATATCAAAAAAATTATTTAAAAAAAATATTTCTACCATCCCATAAGATAAAATTATATAAAATAATGTGTTTTTAATTTTTTTTCACCAATTTAGTTTTTTAATTTCTTTGAATATTTTTCTAAAAATAGATTTTGAAAACCAAATCAAACATAATTTTATAACCAATAAACTTCCAATATTATTCATTAAAAAAAAAAGGTCAGTATATTTCAAACAACATAAGTTAATCAATGCAAAATAAGTTGTATGACGATTTTACCCTTGAAATGAACCATTTACAAAGAAAACCTCTTTCACTGTTCTTATTTCGAACAAGATTCAAAATTTAGAATCAAATGTATCAAAATTGAAAAATCAGAGACTAATGTGATACGAACTTCAAATTATAGGGATTGTTAGTATAATTCACACTTTTAGGAATCACATCATTGCAATGCATCAATAAGGAGTAATCGCTTTACTACATGGAAATGTAAGGGATTAGCCTCAATGAGAGGAGACTCAATATAAGCACAATGGTATTTGCATTGAGAGACAATGGCAATACTAGTGGGTGCATCATAGACTTTTGTTTCAGAAATTCACGTATCGTCAAGCCTGCTTATGATGTTTTGTTAAATGAATTGCAAAAGCATTTCTCTAGTTTTAAGTACTTGAAAAGGTATCATTGAAATTCATCAAAGCTTGGAACTCTGCTACGAGCGACACAGGCCAGAAGTTTAACAACCTTCCTGCTATCACTTTTCATTTCAAAGGAACTCGGGCTAATCTGGTGATCAAACGTAAGAGCTCATTCGAAGTGGGTGATAAAATGGTTTATAATAAAAAAGCATTAATATTTCTGTTTAGCAATGTTATCGGATGATAAAATTACCTCCATAGAGAGACACCGTTAGACAAATCAAAGAATTATATATGATACCAGAAAGTAATTGCTTTTTCTAACCAGAGGATTGCTTGAAAAATGCTTAACACAAGGTAATTTGTGCTCTTCTTTACCATTTACTATGACATAGTTTTCATTCAAAGGATCACCCTTAAGCTTTTATTTATTTATTTATTTATTTTTCATTTTGAAGCAAGAGGCCCATCAAAATTATTTATATATTTTTGAAGTTGTGGAACTTGAAGATGTACTAATTTTTGGATGAGAAAAGCAAAATGCACAGAAATGATTCACAAAATTAATGACAAACATGTGTCTTGTCTGTGGTTAATTTTGTGAATCATTTGTGTTTGTAGTAAAACTCTTTTTAGATAGTCTATGTTCATGCATAAAAATACTTAATAAATAAAAATGCTGAGAGAGATTTATATACCCCCATTTAATTTTAATGTAAAATAAGTTGATCAGAATCTAGTGTACATTCGTTGCAAGCGCTACTAAATCTTGTCATTGTTGGATATGTTTCGCTTAAAATAATGACACACAAATAAATTGTTTAAAATAATATAGCAACTAACTTTGGCATTGTTTGTAATCCTTTTATCCTACAAAAGCCATGTATCAAACAACTAAACTTGGAGCCACTGGGAAGACTATATTTGCATTAAGGGTAAATTATAAATGCGTTCTCTGATATTTATTTAAAATAAGATTTGCTTTTTATAGTTTTGATAATTACATTTTGCCTTTTGAAATTTTTAATTTCATAATAAATGATCAATTTTATTAATAAATCATTTGATTAACAACTTTTAATAATATCAAAAATTTATTTATTTATTTATTTATTTTTTTGATCGGCAAAGAAAATCTTTATTGATGAAACAAACAAGGTATGAAAGATTACATCAATAAAGAGGAGGTTGGAGCTAAGAAAAGCACCAAGCTTCGGTTGGTGAGAAACCAACAAAAGAGAGAGAGGGAAAGAAGAAAGAGAACAGCAGAAGCAAAACACCAGGAATTGAGGCACAGCAGCATCCTCATTGGACTTGCCTACCAGAACTGAGCAGCAACATTCACCCTCCTTCAACCCATTTGCATTCCAGATACGCACAAATGGTCTCACAAAACAGAACAACTGAAACCCATACAATTCAAGCCATTTGCTTTTCAGATGGTCTCACAAAACAGAACCAGATAAAACTGAACACCATTTGGACAGCATAAAAACTAAAACCAGATAAAACTGAGAACCTTCCTTCCCATTTTGGACTTCATAGCAGCCATAAAACAGAACCCATACAACTGAACACCATTTGGACAACATAAAAACTAAAAACCAGATAAAACTGAAAACCTGTCTTCCCATTCTAAACAGCATAGCAGCCACAGAGCAGAAGCAGCCATATGCAGTCCAGTTAACCGTTTGCGTGCCTATCATTTAGCAACATCTGATCCCATGAAGACTATAACACAGCAGAATATCAGCAGCAGATGGACTCCAAACATTGCAGGATAACTGATTCAACAGATGAGCTCCAAAAACACCCAAAATCAACAGCAACCAGTCAACCACTCAGACTGAAAAGGTTTCAGCCAACATCACTCAGACAGATCAGAGGAGCAGACTAGCTGATTAGAGCAGAAGCAAACTGTGGATTCAGGAATGCAAATTGATTTGATTCCATTTGAAAACTAAATCATCAATTGAGAATGGGAAATTCTTGATAGATGCTTTCAACCAAAAAGCTACCCTGATTTTGATTAATTCACACAGACCTGATAGATTGGGTTGAATCTCAAAGAAGACACATTTGTTCCTGTGCTTCCAAAGAGACCACAATATAATAAGGGGAATGGCTCTTCAAATTGGCCTAACAAAGCTCTTCAATCTAACACCCAACCACCAGTGGAGTAGGCCATCCACAGAGTTATTGATGCACCAGTAAAACCCCCAATCATGAATAAAAGTAGACCAGATCCGCCAAGAAAATAGGCAAAGAAGTAGAACATGAACTGCAGATTCAGGTTCAGCTCCGCAGAAGGGGCAAAAAATAGGAACACTGCTGTCCAGAATGCCAATTCTCTGCAAAAATTCTGCAGATTTGACTTTGTTTTTCCATGCCAACCAACAGAAAAAAGAAACCTTGGGAGGAGTGGATCTATTCCAAATGGAGTTACAGATTCTGAGATTGGGACCAAAATTGGAGCTACTAAGAGAGTAAAGAGATGACACAGAGAAGTCACTGTTACCTGTAGATGCACATGCCCAGGACAAACAGTCAGCTCTATCAAGACTCAAAGAAGGAGTTGAGGAAATGATACCAAGCAATCTAACTTCTTTAGCCAACTCCCATGCATATAACACTCTTCTATGGGGTAAAAACCAATCACTTGAGCTGATTTTTCTTGCAAAGAATTGGTAAAGAGAACCTTCTTTATCAGTTGAAAGATTAAAGAGATGTGGAAAATCAATCTTAAGACAAGAATTAGCACACCACCTATCATGCCAAAATTTGATTCTATTTCCATTTCCCACTTTAATAAGGCAGTTGCCCAAGAAGAAGTTGTAAATAATATTATAATACTGCTATAAGACCCAATGGAGATGATGTCCTTCCACAGTCTGGAATGTTTGTAAGAGGGCTTCATTGGTGGAAACCAACACAGCACATCAATCTTATATTTACTGCAGATAGCTCTCCTCCAAAGAGCATTGATTTGAGTTCCAAATTTCCACCACCATTTGAGTAGCAAGCAAGCATTGACATCTCTGATCCTTCGGATACCTAACCCCCCTTGATCTGTGCTCCTTGTGACCTCCACCCATTTAACAAGGTGAACTTTCCTTTTAGTGGCATTACCACCCCATAAAAAGTTAGCCTCAATCTTTTTGATGTCTCTAGCCACACCTTCAGGCATCTTAAATAAAGAGAGAAAGTACACTGGTAGACTGAATAAAGTAGACTTGATCAAAGTTAGTCTTCCTGCAAATGACAACATTTTCCTCTTCCACCCGGAAAGTCTAGCTTTAAAATTGTCAATCACAGGCTTCCAAGTAGATTTCCTACTAGGGTTAGCACCAAGGGGAAGCCCCAAAAATTTGATAGGAAGGGTGTGTACTTTACAGTTGAAAAGCCTTGCAAAAGAGAGCAGTAGTGCATCATCCACACCAACACCACACACCACACTTTTGTGGAAATTAATTCTGAGACCAGAGAGAACTTCAAAGCATCTGAGAATTCTTTTGACCAGGACAATTTGATCCTAATCAGCTTTAGAAAAAATGATTGAGTCATCGGCAAACTGTAAGTGAGATAAGAGAACATCATTAGCCCCAACTAACACACCTTTGAGAATGCCAAGATTAAGTGCTCTGCCCAGAAGTATATTGAGCCCTTCAGATACTATATTGAAAAGGAAATGTGAAAGCGGATCAGCCTGTCTAAGACCTCGTTGAGGTGAGAATTCCTTTGTTGGTGATCCATTCACAAGAATCGAAATCCTAGCTGTAGAGACACACGCTTTCATCCAGGAAATCCATTGAGATCCAAAACCAAAACTAGATAGCAATGAGAATAGGAATTCCCAATTTACAGAGTCGAAGGCTTTCTCAAAATCCAACTTTAAAATCAGAACTTGTTTCTTGGCTTTCTTCCATCTATCCACCACTTCATTGGCAGTGAATACCCCATCAATGGTATTTCTCCCACCTATAAAAGCCGTCTGAGTTTCACCAATAATAGTGGGTAACACTGGCTTCAATCTATGAGTTAGCACTTTTGCCAAAATTTTGTATAAAGAACTCACAAGGCTAATGGGTCGATAATCAGACAGATTGATGGGATTTTCTAACTTAGGGATGAGAGTAATAAACGTACTGTTAATACCATATGTGAGCCTACTATTCTGATGAAATTATTTAAAAAATTACATAATCTCATGCTTCAAGATCTTCCAAAATTTCTGATAGCACAACATATTGAACCCATCAGGGCCTGGGGCTTTGTTCCTATTGCAGTCTTTAATTGCTGCTAAGACCTCAGTTTCAGTGAACTCTAGAACAAGGAAATGAGGAACAGAATCTGCCTCTATAGTCTTGAACACCCCTCCCAACACTGGTCTTTTAGTCCAATCTTCAGCAAAATGAGTTTTGAAGTGTTGAAAAACCTCATGCTTGACCTTGCTAGGCTTCTCATGGGACACTCCATTGACAATAATAGAGTTAAGAAGATTTCTACTATGTCTGAGATTAGCAGAGACATGAAAGAACCTAGTATTTCTATCCCCATTCAGAGTCCAGTTCAGTCTAGACTTTTGATGCCAGAACCGCTCCACCATTCTGTAAAGCTTCCACACTTCTTGTCTGACCATTCTTCTTCGTAACTTTTCTGAATCTAGCATTGCTCTATCCTCTGCCATAATATCCCATGTATGCAACTCCTCTTCTGAAGCCTTAAGTTTGGATGTGATATTACCAAACACCTAAATATTTCATTTTTTCAATTCCATCTTTAGGTGCTTGAATTTTTGAATAAGCATGAATCCTGCCCACCCAGAGAAAGAACTGTTATTCCAGCAATTGATAAAGAGTTCTGAGAAGCTTGGGTGTAAGGTCCAAGCGTTTAAAAATCTGAAAGGACGAGGCCCCCAATCTCTTTCATCTTCCATCATCAACAAGGGACAATGATCTGAGATTAATCTAGGCAGGCCCCAAAGCTTCATTCTAAATTTGATCATCCATTCCGGACTGAACAAGACTCTATCAATTCGGCTCCACTTCTCAGAATCCTGGGCATTACACCAAGTGAATTTCCTTCCATACAGAGGTAGATCATGGAGCTCACATTTCCCAATAAAATCATTCAATTGTTTCATCCCCCTGTCTCTTCTGGAACAGCCTACCCTCTCCCCAATATGCCTAATCTCATTGAAGTCACCTCCCATGCACCAAGGATCAGGAAAAAAGACCTTGTGCTTAAATATATCTTCCCAAAAACTGGCTCTAGCACTAACATCATTGGGAGCATATATGTTCAACAAAACACAATCAAAGGAGTTGTAAAGAGAACCAGATAGTAAGATGTACCTCCTATTACAGCAACAGCCAGATAGTTGAAAAACAGCCGGATCCCAAATGCATAAAAGCCCACCCGCAGATCCATCAGGGTCTACAGACATAAATTCCATGTTTTTGCTTCCCCAAAGCCCCCTAACAGCATTTTTTGAAACCACTGTTTTCTTGGTCTCTTGAAAGAAAACAATATCAATAAGTCTATCCTTAAGAAGGCATTTGATTCTAGCCTTTTTCTCAAGTTTTCCCAAACCCCTAATATTCCAGGAGAGTAGCTTCATCAAAAAATAAATAAATACACTCAAGACACCCATCTACAACAGATTATTGTTGAGCCTTACCTTCCTTGTTAATTCTCTCCTGGTCTTTAAGCTCTAGCTCAATGATCTTGCTTAGAGCAACATCTTCCAGCCTATTAAAGTTGATACCTAGGGATTTCCCTAGATGCATTGTGTCTTTAGCTTCTTGGAGAAGACAGTGGTTGAAAGATGAGGAGCTTCCAGACAAATCCGAATGGGCAAGAGCAGAAGCAGCTGTCCTGAAAATGATAGACTTGGAGGACTGCTTATGGACTGTAGCAGCCCTAAAGCCATGGATTCTAGCAAAGCTAGAGAATCCTTCAAGTTGAGATTTCTTGTAATAATTCAAATCAAAAATTTATTTTAAGTAATAATTCATGTAATTTTATCATTATGTAGGAGAACAGTTAGAAATTTTATTTTTTCAGTTAATTATGTTCAATAAATTTTTTTGACAAATGATATTTATAATTTTTCAAACTATAAGGAACAATTTATATTTTAAGGAAATTTTAAGAAATGTATTTTCAATTTACCCTTGCATTGAAACATAAATTAATTACAAAATCAAATATAAAATGCATATAAATGCATAGGGGATCTCATTTTTTTATTCTTTTATTGTTGGAATGGCACACGAGCTAATAAATAATTTTTTAAGTAGTTTACGACAAGGTAAATTCATTAATTTATCACAAAACTATTAATTCTAAATATTAGAATTCATTTTATAAATTTATAACCTACCTGGGCCGAATCATAATAGAGGCTTTTTTTTTTCTTTGTTTTTTTTTTTTTGTTTTTTATAAATTTTTTTAAGGCCAAATCTAGTGGTTTGAATTTTTTCTATTTTTTTTTAACACCATAAAGAAACAAAGTACGACCTGTATTAAATTAAAGAATTATAACAATTGATTCCATACATTATTTGGGTCATTTTTTGGTAAATCTTCATTTTTAGTGTTTTATTCTCTTTAACCTATATTCTTTTTGAGTATTTCATTAAGTTCTGTTTAATGTGATATAACTAAATCATAATTTTAAATTTTTTTCACATGTTTCTATTTTGAAATACATAACAATAGTCCCTCATTTTATGGAGAAAATCTCTCCTTCATTCTAAAGAGAAAATCTTTCTCTTATTTTATGGAGAAAATCTGTCTCTTATTTTAAGGAGAAAATCTCTTTCGCATTTCATGAATAAAATATCAAATTATGAACTTTGAACCTTTTTTTATAATTTTAAAATTTAAAAAATTACGCAACAAAAAATCTAAATAAAAATCAAAATACAATGTGAATGTTTACAATAAACAACAAATATACAACTAACTTTTAAAAAAATAAAACACATACTAAAGTACAATGTGAATGTTTACAATAAACGACAAATATGCAACCAACCTTCAAAAAATAAAATTCATACAAAAATACAATGTAAATGTTCACAATTTATAATTAACATACAACTAGTCTTAAAAAAATAATTTATACTAATGTAAACATTTACACTTCAACATGAAAACATAAAGAAAATTGAAAAAAATGAAAATCGACTATTTCAATTGTTCAATGGTAACAAAAAAAGATTGTTCAATTAACAAGTATAGTAACAAAACCAACAAACATACAATTAACTATCGAAAAAATAAAACTTATACCGAAAGATAACGTGAATGTTCACAATTTACAATTAATAAACAACAAGTTTAAAATAAATAAATAAATAAACTCATACTAATGTGAACATTCACACTACAACGTGTAAACATAAAATAAAATTCAAAAAAGTAAAAATCGACTATTTTGATTGTTTAATGATAACAAAAATAATTGGTCAACCAACAAGCATGGTAAAAAAAATAAAAAAATACAACTAACTTTCAAAAAAACTTCAAAAAAAAAAAAAAAAAACTCATACCAAAATACGGAGTGAATGCTCACAATTTACAATTAACATACAACTAACCTTAGGAAAACTAAATTCATACCAATATGAACATTTACACTGCAATATGAAACAAAATTGAAAGGAAAAAAAAAAAGACTATATATTTCAATTGTTTAATGGTAACAAAAAAAGATGGTTCAAACAATAATTATAATAACAAATAACCAATGATATGTGAACATTCATGTCTTGCAAAATATATAATTATGTTTATATCTATATGTCAACACTTATTTTTCAGACTTTCAAATAATGCGAAATGTGAACATTCACATTGATTGACAAAAAAATAGAAATAATGGCAGCAATAGAATTAGAAATCCAAAAAAAACTTAATCACTCTAAAAATTAAAAAATATCACCTGCATCCTCATCTTCATCATCTTCTTTACCATTATCACTATCATTAGCAATTTATGCAATTTCATTATTTCACCAATTCAAATCAAACCAAACTCACATTTGAAGAATATATTTGTAACAAAATTGACTGGATATAAACAGAGTTTCGACTTAGAATAATGGAGAAACATAGAGTATTGAATACAGAATTTCGAACGCGAAGTGACAATAGAGGAATATAATATTATTTCACTACCATGTGTAAACTAGAGTTTCTAAACCCTACCAAATAGAGAGTTTCGAAACCTTAGCACAATGAAGCAATACCATAAATGTGAATGAAACTGATCAAAAAGAAAAACGTGAATAATGATAACTACCAAAATAGAGGTAGCAATAACAAAGAAATGTGAATATCATTTTTCTATGTAATACATATCAAGAATAGACATAAGGGTATAATAGTCCAACAAACAATATAAATCAGAAAAAAAGGATTTCATAGAGTAAAAGTATAAATGCATGTGACTAACTAAGTTATAATTTTCATTGGTGGATTTATTGGGTTAGAACACCTCCAAATGAGATTTACCAATAAAAAAACCACCTATTTATATTGTAAATTTTACTCACTTTTTGTATTATTTTACCTCATTAAATTATAATAAATTATAAAGAAGTATCAGTTTACTTCCCTTAACTATACTAGTATATAATTAAAGAGTTGAGTTTCTCTCATGTTGAGATATCATGAGAGAACTTAAGGGGCCTGCAGGGCCTACAACAGGTCTCATTTCGATTTCCGACCCGTTCATTTTGTAGAATTCTCAATGTATATCATCAATAAAAAAATTTAAGTCAATCTGATAATCGTGACATTTTTCATATTATTGCATTTGTCTTTAAAAAAAATAGATGGTCTATTTCAAAAATATATTTGTCGTCCATGTTTTGGTAGACAAATACGATAAAATAAAGAAATTACGATTATTGAATTGAACTAATTTTTTTCATGGACAATATATATCGAGAGCCTTACAAATGGTTTGAATCATTGAAACGAGACCCATGGTGGGTCCTATAAGTCACTCAAATTCTCTCATGTTGAGATCTCAACATGATAGAAGCCCAACCCATAATTAAATAAAATGTCACAGATGCACAGTAATGCATTACAACGAATGACACTTTTGGCGACTAAATTTTTATCGCCAAAAGTTCGTTTTTAGTCGCCAATAATTTTTTCCGAATAAAAGTTTGGGTCGCTAGATTAGTCGCTGAAAGATTGTCGGGAAAGATAATTAGCGACTAAAAAAAGTTTAGTCGCCAAAAGTTCCCAATTGACGACTAATTTTTTAGTTGCCAAAAGCTTTTAAATAAAATTAATTAGTGCATTTTTAGCGACTAAAGATTTTTTCCGCCAAAAACTTAAATTATGTAGGACGACTCAAATTTTCTTTTTTGTTCATCTTAATTTTTTTAGCTACTAAATGTTTTAGTAGCCTAAAGTCTATTTTTTTTTGGTTACTAAATATTTAATTGCCAAATATTTATTTTATTTTATTTTATTTTTTAACTACTAAAGTTTTAGTTACTAAATATTTAATTGCCAAATATTTATTTTATTTTATTTTATTTTTTAACTACTAAAGTTTTAGTCGCCCAAAGTCTGATTTTGTTTTGGCTACTAAATATGTAGTCCCCAAAAAGTTTTTTTCTTTTTATTTTTTTTAACTACTAAAATTTTAGTCTCCTACAAACTTTTTTTTTTTGGCTACTAAATATTTAGTTGCCAAAAAGTTATTTACTTCCTTTTTAGCTACCAATTGTTTAGTAGCCAAAAATATCATTTTGTCTTTTTTTTTTTAAAATTAATTTGTCCAGAACCTGTATGTATTCCATGAAACTTGTATGATGTATATAAACAAAACAATACATATATTATGGACCATTCCACAATCTGCATCCATTTCGCTTCTAACCATTCAAAAATGAATAACTTTTAATATCAAATTTCATACAAACCAAGTATATAAAAACCTAAAATAATAATTCCATACAAAACAAAGAATATACACAAAAAATATATTCACTACCATGCCAAATGGCCATTTGGCATGGTACAAATTACCATGGTAATCTGTACCACAATAAAAGATAATCTATATACCACGACAATAATTATCCGTTTGATACCAAAAGTAATTTGTACAATGCAAAAAGTTATTTGTATGATTACTACTAATCCACACAAAAATAGAGGACGACAAAATAGCGGGATTATACAAAAATTTAAATTGTCCTCCATACAGAAATGGAATATTCATAAGTCCACGTCAAAAGCCATCTACAAAAAAAAATTGCACCCATTAGTACCATAAATGGATGCAAAACTTGATAGTTTCAGGAAAAAAAACATTAGAGGTTGGGGTGAGTGAATTAAATTGTTCATCTTCTTCAGTTTGGATGCATACAAACTTACAACAACAAAGTGGCACCAAGAACTAGAGTTGGATGTCAAGGTCTTACATGCCCAATCTACCACATTTCAATAGATCAATAAATATGTATTGCCAAATTTAATTTGTATTGTAGTAACATAGGTGGAGTAAGCAATTATGAGGACTGGGATCCCAGACCTATCACCATTCAAGTTGGCAACAACAACATATTTATTAGTTATAGATCTGTCAATTTGAATTTTAGTTGACAATGGGAACGCTTCTTGTACATCTACAATGGGGCAAAATGCAAGTTGTATTTCAAACTTTTTTAGTTGAGTTGTTCACTAGAGGTGAGATGTTAACCCAAAACCAAGCCACCAGCCCATTTGTAAAAAGAAAAATTTTAGAGAGCACTTTTTAAATGCATTTACGATTGTCAATAAGGCAATAATAATATAATGTTCAATAAAAACAACATATATTTTAGATTGATTAAGTTTAAGATGTTTTTGAATCTAACTCTCAACCTACGTGTGCTAATTACATGTTATTTTCTCCATAGGTCCTATTTATCATGAGGAAGCTACCCGTGACATCCGTAGAGTGGTTTGGGGACTAGTTTGCATTTTCACCCACCGAACGACCTTTTTTGACTAAGTTTAAGGCGTTTTTTACTCTAACTCTCAACCTACAAGTACTAATTACATGTTGTCTGTCGCCATAGGTCCTATTTGTCACGAGAAAGCTGGCCGTGACATCCATAGAGTTGTTCGAGAATGTTTTTGCATTTTTGCCCTCTAAAAGGCCTTTTTCGGTTAAGTTTAAGGCATTTTCGACTCTAACTCCTAACCTATGTGTGCTAATTACTTGTTATCTATCCCTAAAGGTCCTATTTTTCATGAGGAAGTTTTTCGTGACATCCATAGAGCGGTCCGCATGCTATTTTGCATTTTCTCCCTACAAATGGCTTTTTTCGATTAAATTTAAGGTGTTTTCAACTCTAACTCCCAACCTACGTGTGCTAATTATGTGCCGTATATCCCCAAAGGTCCTAATTTTCATAAGGAAGTTTTCCGTGATATCCATAGAGTGGTTCGGGTGCTGTTTTGCATTTTTGCCCTCTAAATGGCCTTTTTCGATTAAGTTTAAAGCATTTTCGACTTTAACTCCCAACCTACATGTCCTAATTACATGTTTTTTGCCCCACATGTCCTATTTGTGATAAGAAAGCTATCTGTGACATCTATAGAGTGGTTCGGGCTGTTTTGCATTTTCGCCCCCCGAACACCCTTTTTTCGGCTAAGTTTTAGGTATTTTCGACTCTAACTCCCTACTTACGTGTGCTAATTACATGATGTTTGTCCGCACAGGTCCTATTTTTCACGAAGAAGCTTCCCGTGACATACATAGACTGGTTTGGGGCTGTTTTGCATTTTCGACTCTAACTCCCAACCTATGTGTGCTAATTACATGCCCTCTTACTCCAAAGGTACTATTTGTCATAAGAAAGCTGTCTATAATATCCAGAGTGGTTCAGCTACTATTTACCATTTTTGCCCCTCGAATGGTCTTTTTCGGCTAAGTTTAAGGTGTTTCGACTCTAACTCCCAACCTACATGTGCTAATTATATGGCGTCTATCCCTAGAGGCCGTATTTGTCATTAAAATTTTTTGTGCCATCCAAAGGGTGGTTCAGGTGTTGTTTTGAATTTTTGCCCTCTGAACTATCTTTTTCGGCTTAGTTTAAGGCGTTTTCAATTCTAACTCACAACCTACGCATGCTAATTGCATGTCGTTTGTCCCGTAGGTCCTATTTGTGATGACAACGCTGCTCGTGACATTCATAGAGTGGTTCATGAGTTGTTTTGCATTTTTGCCCCCCGAACGCCTTTTTTTGGCTAAGTTAAGGCATTTTCAACTCTAACTCCCAACCTAGATTTGGGTTAGATTTGGGTGTGATTTGCTTTTAAATTGGGCTATAAAAGAAGGGATTTGGAATGGTTTTGTATGGAATATTGTTGGAATGATTTTGTGGAGGAAATCTATTAGAATTTATAGAATTACTCTTAAATGGGTTTTTTTTTTTTTTGAAATAAACAGATATTGTTTTAAAAACTTTGAAAATCCTTGGGAGTTTTGATTTGGAATAAGGATGGGAACTACTGGGATTGTGAAACAATGTTTTTATCCTTGTTGAGTTGGAAAGAGGAGATTGAACATGCGATTGTTACTCCTTTATTGAATTATGAAAAATTTCTTTTGAATAGATATATCTATTTTGACTATCGGTGGATGATAGTATTGATTGTTGTAGCAATTGCATGAGAACTAGGTTAACTAAAACCATTCATTCATGCATTTCCATTTGAACATTTGGTTTTAATCCTTATACATGGAAATGTATCATTTTGAGAAAAACGGGTGAATACAATGGGTGAATCTGGTTAGGGGGTGTGGTTGTGGTTATTTATGTTGGCCTTTGTATCCTTGGTGAAAGTCCAGAAAATCGCGCGGTTAGGTGCCGATCCTTCCGGTTAGTACCGGTAAAATGCCTTTTGGTAGTGTTTGTATAGCCTACTTGTAGACACGTACCTGGAGATTTCCAGTGTGTGTATTTACTACCCTGTTTTTTATTTTGGACGTAACGATTTATTAATTAGGATCTAAGCATGGCATTGTATTGTTTGAAAGACAAAATGCATGTTTTGGTAATGGCATTCATGTGCATTTACCATATGGCTTTGTTAAGCATCATACAAATCATTAAATTTATCTCTATTGGGCTTTAGCTCACTTTATGTAGAAACCAACTTTCAGGTGCTGATGGTATGCTTTCGTCAAGGGGTTAGCTTGGGAGGATTGTGGAGTTGAAGGCTCATTTTATTTTTGTTTTGTTTTGTAAATGTCTTTTGTATGAGCTTAGGAATTTTTCTTGTATTGGGCTTCAACCCACTTTTGAAATAACCAAGTATTGTCTTGGAAACTTTTAACTTTTAAGGTATGAACTTGTAATTATTTACTATTGTTCCTATGTATCGGTCACATGCTATGAATTCATTATCTAGGATTGGCGAATGTATTAATGCAAGTGACGTATTTGTAATGTTTAAAGAAGTCAATGAATGAAATGATAGTTCTGGAAATGCTTTTGATATTGAATGATTGAGACTAATAAGCTTCTATATATCTGCTGAGAGTTATGAGAGTTATCTGTGTTATTATTTTCGGGGCGTTAGAGTTTTCAATATGAAACATTGCCTATTTTAGTTAAGTAAAATCGACAAAAAAATTGAATATTTTAGTCATTAAACTTAATAAAAATGAGTATTTTAGATATTTTATGTATACCTACATTGCGCTTATAACTAAAATACTATTTTTTTAACCAATTTTAGTTAACGAAAATAGGCAAATGGTTTAGATTAAAAACAAATTAAAAAATTAGGATTTAAAGTGACAAAAGTAAAAACTCAAAGTTTATTTTGTTACAATGGTCAAACTTATTATTTTTATTTTTTTTGTAATTATCCCAAAATAAAAGGAAGTGAGAATTTTACGACCTAAACATGGGTATTTGGTTTGTTCACCTTTTTTTTTTTTATAAAAAAAATAGAGGTATTTGGTCACGACACCCTTATTATTCACTTGTATTATAAAAAATAACATACTAATTAATTTTAGGGGCATTTATTCGTAAATCCATCTTCACCTAGTTATATTTTACTTAATCCAAATTATTTTTTATATTCAAATAAGTACTATGAGTGACATAGTTATCAAAACATCCCTAATAATAATAGGGTGAAGCTCATTAATGTTCACATTGATAGTGTGAATGTTCTATCACACTGTCAACGTGAACATTCACACTATCAACTTCGACATTCACATTGTCAAATTTATTTAATGTGAATATTCTGGGTAACTTACACTTTGCACCAAATCCCACTTTGGCACCTACACATGAAATCATGACAGTTAACTCCCTATATTTCTGGTCAAATCCCACTTTGGTCTCTACATAAAAAATTATGACAATCAACCTCCTATATTTTTGATCAAATCTCACTTTGGTTCTTACACAAATGTCAATGTCCCATTTTTGTTGCTCAATTGTTTAAATTTTTAACAAATGTGTCTACGATATAAGGGTAAGAGAGGAAAATCATCTACATTTCCAACAATACACACTTTGGCCCAAAATTTACATCAAATTATGACTGTATTAGGCTAAAACAAAATACAGATTGTGAACGATTAAGAAGATGAACTAGGATTTTGCATAAATTAAAATCATGAAACTATGTTTTTTATAGTAACATAATATTCTTTCTATTCATCTTCCTTTTTCTTTGATTTCTTTGCCACATTGTTTTTATTTATTTCAAAAGTTCTATTTTTTTGCCTCTTCGTCCCAATTTTTAGTATACAAATATATATATATATATATATATATATATATATTGTATTTTATAACTCTCATGTGCTTATTACATAGGACAAAGTGTATTAATAGAAATCATGGATGATTTTCCTCTCTTAAACATAAAGTAACAAAAGAGAGACATTGACACTTGTATAGGGACCAAAGTAAGATTTGAGCAAAAGTGCAGGGGGCTAACTATCACAATTTCATGTGTAGAGACCAAAATGAGATTTAACCAAAAGTGTAGAGGATTGACTGTCATGATTTTACTTTTTTTTTTATCAATAAAAGAAAAGCTTTATTGATGAAAAAAGCACAGTACATGCAAAATTTTTACATCAATAAAATAGGAAAATGTACAAAGCATCATAGCTAACCTTAACAATCCCAACTAGGTTAGCATCACAAAAGAAGCACAATTATTTGCTAGTACTTAACCCAAAATTGGCGAGATACCAATCAAGAGCACCAAACAAAAGAAACAAAAACAACAGAACAAATAATAATATAGCAGCGACACAAAACTATGATCTACCAATCCAAACTAGCAACAACACCAACAAGCAATACTACAGCAACAGTCCCTCTTCAGCAACACTAGACCAGTTAGCCACCAATAGCATTAGCTATATCTCTGCACCTCATAACATTGGCACACACCAACAAATCTCATGTAAGCAACATCTCCCCTAAATCCACACAGCAAGAACATCAGCAGCTTACAAACAACTTCTGACGTGCTTCAAATTGCAACAACATCATGCACTGAGTAGGTAACACCCTTCATATTAGCCTTAACCCATAGAGCAATTATGACTTTCACCAACTCCCCTAATCCTGCAAGATCAGCATTACATTTCTTAAATAGACACTCATTTCTTAGTTTCCAAACAGACCACAACATTGCCAAAGGGACAATCTTCTGAATCTCTAGCTCCTTCTTCCTCCATTCCATTCCAAACCACCAGTTCAACAACATAGAACCTGGTGTTACCCATTTTACCTCCCACCAGTTCACCAAGACAGACCATACATTCCATATCAAAAGGCATAACAGCAACACATGATCAGGTGTTTCCACCTCTGCCTTACAAAACACACACAGAGAACTAACATTATCATTCAATACTCCAATCCGATGCATAAACTCTGCAAAATTTATCCTCCCTCTACAAGCTAACCAACTGAAGAATTGAACCTTTGGAGGCGCTGAATTTTTCCATTGAACCTTTGAAATATTAAGCATTGACCTTTTAGCTGCCTTTATCATTTGCCATACCGAAGCCACAGAGAACACTCCTGAACTATTTGCTAGCCATGAACAAGAATCCTCAACTGTATGAGTCGGAATAGGTGCCTCTGATAAGAATAAAGTAAGTCTTTGAACCTCCTCTTCCTCCCAACCTAACAATGGTTGTCTAAACTCCAGTTTCTAACTTGAGTCTTGCTCTTTCCTTTGATAGAAAAACTTCAATGAGCCTTTCTTATCCATTGAGACACTAAACAATCTAGGAAAATCATTCCTCAAACTTCTACCATTAAACCACTGTAAACACCCCATTTTTGACAGCCCTTAAGACTTGGGCGCCTCAGGTTGATCACTCGGTAATGAAAGTTATGCAAATGTTCGATTTCTTCGGCAAGAGGAGCTTCAAACCCCACAACCTTACACCCCATTTTGGACCAAAACTATTTTGACCAAAATGATTTTAGACCTTAAAACCTTCTCTTTCAAAATATTTTTGAGAAAGTTTCTACGATGTTCCGAGACTCGCATTTCGTTAAATGTTGCACTTTTCGGTAAATCAAGCAAGGACAAAGTGGAAATAAGTGAAAGAGAGGTGAACTCTTTGAAAAATCTTTCAAAACACCTTATTTAGAGGTTTGGAATTGAAGAAAATTGGAGGAGAGGGAAGAAACCTAGTTGGGGAAGAAGTTGGACATAAACTGTTAAGAGAGAACCGGACAACCTTCACTAAATCAGGTTTATCCTTTTGTACACTTGGACTTAAGTTATGAGACCACCACCATTGGAAACTAGACTTCCGGGGCTTCATTTTACACTCAAGAATCTCTTAAAGTCGAGTTCGGATGAAGGAGATGCGGCTAGTTAAAGTTAGGTATCAATCCGATTGAGCTAGAAATAAGCAGTCTTTACTAAAATAAGCATATCTTTTTTCACACTTGGAATTTATATTTGAGGTTACCACCATTTGAAAGAAGACTTCTGGAACTTCAATTTAGGCTCAAGAATGACCTGCAAAGGAGTCCGGATAAAGGAGATATGCCAATTTGAAGTCGGGTTTGGAAGCAGATTTTTGGTGACCGACCAGCCACGAATGATGGCCGACCGGCCACCAATGAAAAATGTCGGCCACTGGTGAAAAAAGCTCAGATTTTGTAGATATTTACCTCCAGCTGTCTCCCACAGGCTCCAGCTGTCTATTTTGTTGATATTTTTGACCCGAGCTCTTGTATTTCTATATATAGAGGCCATTCTCTATTGTTTTCAAGGTTGAATAAATTTTGGGAGCTTCTCTCTCTACAATCCTCTCTCTCTACAATTCTCTCTCTCTAGATTTCTCTCTCTCTTAAACTTTTGTGCATACAAGTAGAGATACATTTCTCCTTTTCCTATACATCCTTGACCAAAGCTGGTTATCTTTGAGCTAAGGTTTTAGGAGGTCTTCTTGGAGCTCTTGAAAGTGATTTTGCTTGGTTTTGTTGGCTAAAATTGTGTTGTGCTACAAGAGGTATAAGACTCACCTTTTAAACTTGTTTTGCATAACTTGTTTTACCATCTTTTTGTACTGTTTTTGAGCTGGTTTTGAACTCCAAAAAACTCTGTTTTTATGGTTTAAAAATGGTGGTTTGAAGCTATTTTGTGTTAAGGGATAGTCCACCCTTCTTGTTGCTTAATTGTTTAGCTTTTTGTGCTATCTTTCGTCACCTTCAAATCAAAATTTTTGGGCCTTTAAACCACTGAAATTTAGAGGATTTTCAGTGACAAAAACCTACTTTTGAAGCCCAAAATTGGAGTGAATATCCTTCCCTCACTGTGTCTTGTTTGCGTTCGTAGTTAGCTTCATATGTTAACATGTTTTTGTAGCTTAGTTTAGCTTTTTTCCAACATGTTTTTGCCTCTGATTTGGGCTGCTTTGGCTCTGTTTTGGGTTGTTTATGTTGTATGAGTAGTCTTTTGCATAGTTGTAGTGTAAAGGGCTTCACTAATTTAGTGTTTTAGGCCTTTAAACATGAATTGCTTGAGTTGCTTGCATGTTGTAGTGCTATTTTGCATGTAATTTCAGCATCACAAGCTCTGTCACATACTCTTTTGTTTCACTCTTTTATTTGCTTTTGAGAGTGGTTTCAAGTTTGGGATCCTTTAAGCTTGAGATTGAGTTCATTGCTTAATGGTTTAATCCTCTTTGAGGGTTCATTATTAACGGCATGAACTCTCTCTTGCCTTAAATCATCCCTTGGTTGACACTTCTTTCTATTTAAAGGACACTCACTTTTGGAATAATCAAGTAAAGAATGGATTGATAATCTAAAATGAGTAAACAAAAATGAACAAGTAAAAGAGGCAAGATAAGCATCTTTTGTGTTTCATTGCATATGTTCGAATCGGACATTAATTCGAACACAAGGAAAATAAGACATTTCATACTGAAAAGTGATGAAATGTGTCATTTTCCTTGATCACCATCACCCTTGATCATGCATGATAGGGTGGTGGTCTCTTTGGGTCTTGTTTATGCATTTATTGAACTTGTACAAACTTGGTCCTTGGGTCATCATGCACGAAAATTGCTTAGTTGATGGTTTGAGAGCCAAGGGTCTCTCTCCTTTGAGCTTGTGTGATGATAAGGAGGGTAAACAGTACAGACAACCTCTGAGAATACACTGCTTTGCTCTACCTACTCTCTATTGCAGCAAAAAGAGGAGTTCTTGTCACCAGTGGCTGACCAGCCACCACCAGTAGCCAACCGGCCACCATTAGTAGCCGACAAGCCCCCTGTTGGCCACCAATGAAAATTGCACAATGTGTTCCTGAGGCGAAGCAGGGGCATTCTGGGAGTTGGCAACACTGTTGGTGTTCAAATAAATGCAAACAGAGGCATTCCATGGCAAGGCAGTGGTTTTTCGGGTGGAGAAACTGAGCATGCATGCATCCCTCGCTTCCCGAGGCCATTTAATTGCTTTATTTAGTTAATTAGTGATAGCTAATTTATTTGCTTTGTAATTAGTTAGTTAAAGTGTTTAGCTAATTAATTCATTTTTTAATATTTAATTAGCTTAGAATAAGTTAGTTAAGTAGTTTTATTTTGTAATAGTTAGCTTAATTAGCATGGCTAGTTAGCTTATTCATTCAGACCCTCCTTCACGAGGGCGTAATGTTGTAATAAGTGTGCGTGCGTATGTGTATGTCTTCCAACCCTACGTCTTTCTTCCTTTTATTTAATCACTTTTGATGGTTAGATTAGGGACATTTTCAATTAGCATACCTTATGCTTGCATGCTTGCATCCATTTATTTGTCTTGCATGCAAAGAAGCTCAGCTTATCATTCAAACTACATTGTCATTTCAATACATACTTGAATATGTGTTTAACCGCATGTTATCAAAATCGATCTATATGCCATATTAGTAGTCAGGCTTATTAAATTGCATATTGCATGCGTTACATTAGGCATCTTAACATAGTTAGAAATCATGCATTCTTTTCTAACTCATGTTTTCCTAGCTTAGAGTACTAGGTGAGTTTTTACGCTTTAGCATACTTGCATGTGTGTGAGTGTTGCCATGTCTAGAATGCTTGCCATGAGGCTATGTGCTTAAATGCTAAACTGAATGAATGCCTGTAGATGAAGGCTTGTTGTTTGAATTGGAACAATTCAACGAATGTAAGTTTTAAGCCCACCTTGTTGAGTGGCAAATCATGTTATAAGCCCACTATGTTTGATGGCAAAATCTGCATCTTTAAGCCCACTTGAGGGTGGCAAATTCAAACCATTTTCTCAAATAAACATGAGTTGAATTGTTCCAAGTCTTGCGACTAGTCTATACTTTCTTGTGTGCGTCACATAGTAAAGCTAGTTTAATAACCGGGACAAGAACACATAATGTTTATAAAACATCATATCATGATTAGTAGAGACCGATCGTTGATCGGGCGAGCGGGAGTGCTTAATTCATGACCTTCCCCCTCGTACCCAAGTTCTTGAGCCGAGGCAACTTTGGTGATGACGGACACGTGGCCTTTGGCACGAGTCAGGGTTTTCTAAATTTTCCAAAAATAAAATATTTAGGTGGCGACTTTATATCTAGCAAAATAGTCCAATTTTGGCATTATTTGATTTAAAATCGATTTTTCAAAAAAATTTGCCGGATTTGAACTCTTTGGTGATTATCAGTTTCACATTGCACTTGTGAGACTAGATTCAGAACCGTGGGAGCCCAATCTGTGAGGCCTTTTTTTTAAACCCTTTCCGAAAGACGGGGCGCGAGAAAAAGGCGAGTCCACAGCGGGGGTGCCCAATTCATGATCTTCTCTTCTCGTACCTAAGCTCCTCGAGCTGAGGCAACTTTGGTGATGACAGACACGTGGCCTTTGGCACGAGTCGTGGGTTTCTTAAATTTTCCCAAAAATAAAGTATTTAGGTGGCGACTCTGTATCTAGCAAAGCAGTCTAATTTTGAGATTTTTTATTCTAAAATCGATTTTCCAAAAGATTTGTCAGATTTGGACTCTTTGTTATTTATCAATTTCACATTGCACTTGTGAGATTAGATTCAGAACCATGGGAGTCCAAACTGTAAGGCTTCTTTTCGAGTTTCCGAAAGGGGGCGCAAAAAAGCCGAGCTACACCAGGCCATAAGTCAATCACTTGAACGACAACTACAACCTAGCAATGCATTGGTGGGTTCCGGGACAACCAGACACTCTGTTAAGCCCACCACCACATCGCAAGGGAGGGAAGAAGCCGTGCAAGATACAATTAACAATGACACGCTTGAAGCGGAGATAGCTGATCAGCCGAGTAGCCGAGCAACCCAGGCACGGAACACTTGATCCTTCAAAAATCTTAAAATCCCACTGAATGTTGGAAGCTTTTTATTGGTGAAATGTGTAAACTTTTCATCGATGGTGCTTCAAACAATGGTGCCGAGTTAGGCGTAGTTTTGATCTCACTCGAAGGATTGGCCATCGAACATTCCATCACACTTGGGTTCCCTGCGTCAAACAATGAAGTAGAGTACAAAGCGATGCTAGCCGGTCTGAAAAGTGCACTCCAAATGAAAGCATCCAAGCTGATGGTTTATAACGACTCCTAACTCATTGTCAACTAAGTATCCAGAGAATATGAAGCCAAGGATAACAGAATGGCCAAATACCAAACTCTGGTGAGAGAGCAACTCAAGAAATTTAAAGCCATAAGAGTTGAACAAATTGGCCGAGAAGGGAATAGCCGAGCAGATAAGTTGGCAAGTTTAGTTTCCATGGCTAACAAGACAACACGTTGCCCTTAACTGATTGAATTTCTTCCAAGACCAAGC